AATACCCTGAAACATATGAAAATACATTTAATTAAAAAATATAGTGTTCTAATATCGAAAAATCGAACTCAAACTTAATTTGTATGCATTCCATTACTCACCGCATCAAATAGCCCAATGTCACTTGAACGGATATGCTAAGCGTACCAACAACTGCTATGAAAACTGCCACTTCCATTGAATTGAAGCCCATTTTCAATTTTAGATATACAAATATACATGAATATTGTCCCGCCTCAGGCAGATATGACAAAAGCACAGCGACACATTGCATTAGTATGGTCTGATCGGAGCCCACCTTGCGCAGCGCCTAGACATACATATGTACATAAGCCATTAAAATTGAAGTGAACATCATTAAATGTACATACATACATACATATATACAAGCATTTACAAAAGTCCACATACTACATATGTATGTACATATACCATATGATGGATAGGTGTGTAAAGTTATCTAATTAAGTATTAGTGACTTACAGAGAAGGGATCAGCCTGTTCCCAACTAATGGGCGCACCCCATGAAGAAGGACGTATTTTTTCAGGCAAGCTTTCGGGCACGGCAACTAATATGAAGAAAACGTCAAGAACCGCGATGGCGGTCGCAAGCGCAGCAACTAATGTATCACCATACGTTTCCATTAGCAAAGCACCGAGTGCGGGTGAAATCACCTAAATGGACAAAGAAATGTAGAAAGATGAACAGAAAACATTAACACATGCATATACTAATATTCATTTAATTTTAATTTCAATTAAGTTTGCGACTTGTCGCATTTCTAAGGCGTACTACTACATTAGCAGCACTATAACTTTACATACTTATAATCATTTTAAATATTCGCACTACATACATACAATCACACAAGAAGTAGTACATTACCAGACTGGCTGCAAATGTAGCCGAAACTAAGCCATAAGCACGCGACCTCTCCTCAACCGTAGTGACATCAGCCACGTAAGCAAATACCACTGAGAATGTAACTGCTAGTGCACCACTTATGGAGATCATTGCAAAAAACCACCATGAATTGATGGCCATTAGCGGTATAGGTGCACATGTGAAAAATACTGTGATGAGTAGGAAAAATTTTCGTCCCCAAATATCGGAGAGTGCGCCGACTAGCGGTGCGCTCAAGAAGGACAGTATGCCTTTAATGCCCATTACAAGTCCGTTCATGAGAAACGTGTGATCGGGAAATGTTTGATTTAGCGTCTGTAAAAAAGAGATAAAGCGACATGTTGTGAAATAAAGAAAGCGAAGTGAAGCCAAAACTTGTACTTACCGCTATTACTGGCATTGTTAAGAGACCCCACGCGAAGAATTCTAAAAATATTACAACCAAGGCGTGATATACACTCGGCTCGCCGATGCCGGAACTCTGCAAAACAAAAAGTATACATAAATTTAATAAAATGTATATAAAAGTTATTTAGATTGAAATTAAGCTGTAAAAGTTGGAGCTGTAAAAAATAATTTTTAGAAAATTTGTAAATTTTTAGGGCTTTTTGAAATCTTTCGAGATTTTTTCGTACTGTTTCATACATGTAAATCTTACCCCCTTTTTTAGTTTACAAGCCTTTTTGGGATCTTTGGAGGTTTTTAAAGTTACCGAATTCCTACTATTGAATTAAATCTTGTCTTTTTTGCCTTACAAAATCAAAATTTAACGGCATTTCATGCTGGAAATATTAAAAGTTTATAATAGAAATCTGGCAAATAGACATGAGATATGGAGATACAACTTATCAATGCACTGAATGGCGATACAGGTGGCGGGTGCGTTATTAAATTATAAAAAAATTCTGCAAATTTTCACCAAAATTTCAAACTTTTTATTTAGAATCTTGAGAACAATCCTTGATATGCAGTTTTCTAGCCCATTTAATTAATAATGAAGTGCAAGGTTCAAGTTGCTAAAAATGGCGTTGATTTTAGAGAATTTTTCTGGTTGAAGGTGCTTGACGTTTTTTCCATACAAAGTATGTTCGACAATTTTCTTTTATATGCATACCAAAATTTTCTCACAGATTCTGATTAAAAAGTTTCAAACTTTGGTGAAAATTTGCAGAATTTTTATAATTTTTGTACAAAGTTTGAAATCAGAAATTACATGTTACATCAATGTTTACTGTATAATCAGCTAGACTTTTTTAAAAATAATAATAATAAATATGTAATAAACAAAGGAAAAATAGCCAAAACTGGTCAAAACATCGCACTCTTATAATTTTGTGGACCACTATATATAACATTTTAGTAAACTTAATACATATGTATGTATTTTTCCACAATTTCCTTTCACTTTTTCGTATATTTTTTTAAGCAACCCTACTAGTCCTGAATTGATTCAAAAAGTACGTTCAATAACGAGTAAAACGAATTATTTTCCACTTAAGCAACAATTATTCTCAAACCTAAAAGTTTATTCAAAAGATCCATTAACTACACTTCACGCCTACCTTGAAATGCAAGCAAAGCCAGCGTGTCCAATTTAACAAACGCCATTCCGTATTCACAGTAAGCACCGACGGTAGCGGCATGTCATTACCACTCGTACCCATTGCATATGCCGAACATGTCGCATCATCACTTTCGGCACCTTTTATTGGCCTTTTGTGACTTAATTTAGTAACCTGATTGAGGATGGCACGTTTAGCCAGCACCTGCTGCTGCACATCTGGAGTAGTTGTGCTTATATTGTCTGCGTCTAAGTCATTTATAGTGGTAGTAGTTGCAGTGGCGATGGAAAACGAAATATTATCCTCAGATATGGAAGTTGCATTGTTTGGATCTATAAAAAGCTGTTGTTGTTGTTGTTCCTGATGCGTTTGTGCAGAAGCAGCCGAAATGGCGATCAATTTTAATTGCGCTTGTGCAACGGGCAAGGTGGTGCTGTTCATAGCTTTCATTTTGGATAGATTAGCAAACGGATATGAAAAATCCGTCATTACATTGGCCACATCAGCCGTTGTAGGCGTCGACGATGTGGTGTGCGATGCAGTAGATCCTTTCGAACCACTATTGTCTGTGTCTTCCCTAGCAAAAGCAGGCGGTGTGCTATTTGTAAGCTGCCATTGATGTTGCTGCTGCTGCTGCTGCTGTTGATGTTCCACATCAACCGCCGTCTGCTCTGCAGTGTTGGTAGTGTTAGTTAGAAGGCTAGCTGTATTAACAGTTGCAATTGCAGTAAATTCATTCTTATTGTGATCGTTTGCCAAATTTGCATTATCATCTCTAGGTAGATTTCCAATACTGTAGGTGCTGCTATAGCTGAGGCTGTCACTGCTGTTGCTGCTGCTACTGCTGCTGCTTCTGCTAATGATACTCCTCCTCTTGCTTTTGCCTAAAGTACTGCCGGACATGGCTGCGATCATCAGCGGCGAAGGGGCGGTGGCCACATCATCGACCAGCATATCGGTAATGGTAGCCTCATCCTCACTCTCATCGATTTCAAAGCTGGTCGTATCGGCCTCTGTGATCTCACAGCTCGACGAGACTGGATCTTCGGTGTGTGTGGAAGTTTCGGCGGCATCATGAGACGCTGTAGCATCAATGCTCATGACGGGGCAAAGTTTTGCAACTTAAATTTTAGGCAAATGTTAAACATTTGCAAATAAAGCGAGATTTCGTGGTAATCTACAATATTGCGATATTTTTGACTTTAGTTTTATGTCGATTAATAATGATGATAAGTGTTGTTTCGTTTTTTTTTTGTTTTTTTTGTGAAGATAAAGTTGTTGTACTTGTTGTATGTTGTTTAATTTCTTTGCCGATCCCTTGGTGGCATGAGAGCTCACACAATCTTAATTGCACACAATATCGCTACGCGTATCACACTCTTTCGAAATCCGAACTGATCGTACGATCACTCTTCACTCGCCAATCAGCTATGTACATATGTATGCGAAGAATTTAGCTTATTTATTTGCAAGTTTTTTAATCACAGCATAATTTATATATACACATGTTAAAACAATTTTATTATTCTAATTATAATTTTGTTTTTTTTTTAGTGTTTGCT